ATCATCAACATGGACAGCATGACATCAGTGTTCAACACCGATGATGAACCGCCGTACAGCCATGATTAATTTAAAAGCCTTACTGTGAAGAAGAGAATAAAGGTGGACGGGGAAGGGACTTGGTGCTGGCTCACTACAATTATTCCGAGGCGCCTACACCTCTAGACGGTCATTACGACAATCAGGACAGAAAATGACGACAAGAACGCCTCCGGCATCGGTCAGCAGGCTTACCTTGCAGTGTCCTCAACCAGGAGCACAGGAGATCACCCCGTCCCCATCCTGGAAGGCGAGTATAACCGACAGCACCCAATGGTTTCGTAATCTCTTTCAAAACCGTCTGCTAGGCCAAAGGTTGACCAATCACCTGCTTCTGCCACTCCGAACTGGACACGAAAAATAATAGTCTGCTGGAAAAACGATATTTCAGGATAAACGATGCACGACCTAAACGCGCAGAATCTGGTGCTGGACACATCATTAATAATAAGGCGTCTGTGAAACCGGGTATTTCACCTCTGCATACCCCAAATGGACTGACGGCCACTGCGTCAGCTGCAGCTGAAGAACTGGCCGAGTTCTATTCCACTGTTTACTGTCAGAAGGAATACATAAGCCGAATGTCGTTTATGTCTCCCTCACCGCCCACCTCCCTACATGAAGTAATTGTGACTCCAGAGTGTGTACTCCGAACGTTACTTGAACCAAATCACAGAAAATCTCCCGGTGCCGATCAGATAACACCATTTATCCTCAAGCAGTGTGCTCATTCCCTATGCACACCTCTCGCTGAGTTATTTAATTTGTCCCTTAATTAACGGTGTGGTTCCCACCGACTGGAAGAGGGCCTACTTTATTTTATTATACGTAAACGATATACCTGAGCTCGTGAGCAGTAAAATCACTTTATTCGCAGACGATATCAAGATATGGTCAAGCATACGCACCATTGAAGACTGTCACCGATTACAAAAAGATCTCGATACACTTTATGATTGGTCACTGAAAAACAGACTACCGTTTAACCTCCAAAAATGTAAAATGCTCCGTG